ACTGTTCCTTCCATCCTCATTCCTCTTTCATATTCCTCGCCAGTGACCCGCGTTGAAGTACACGCTTCAGGCACACTGCGATCATTTACCACATCCGGCCTGTGTACCTGTTCACACCTCATGCCCAAATCGCGACCAGAGCATCACACGCCCCAGGCCCGATCCCAACTCAGCCCACGCCAAATGCGATAGGCCTACATGATTGGAACCCTAGCTTATGTTGCCTCGGTCCAATCCCGGTCTCACCCGAGCTGATCGCGCCTCGGACCGATTCTCATACTTGCTTTTTCAAGCCTCAGCCTGTGCCAAATGCAACAGACCTACGTGATCGCTGCCCGAGTTTACGATACCCGGCTCGATCCCATTCTCGTACTATCACACCTTTGCATACTTTCCCACAATCACTTGTCACACCACAACTTTTCCTTACTCATGCACATACTCGATATGCATTTACCACATGCAACTGGCCCATCACACGCTATCCGTGCACGCATTGAGTCACACGCAGACAGAACTCACTAAACAATTCACATGGCCAATATCAACAATTAATTCGACTTGGCCCACGCGTGCACCAAACAGACATATGTCCACTATATAAACACATAAATAAGCACTCAATTAAATCAACCCCATCCAAAATAATTCAAACATGCCTAAAACACGTAAATTGCCAATTTTTTCCAACCAAATGGCGTCGGATTAATTCCGATCCTTCACGACACTTTCTCGCCATTAAGTAATGGTTCTAAAAATCCAACTTTCGTCTCGAACAAATCATCATAGTCCCATGAACAGTAAATCACAGCCACTGTTATTTTCTAATTTCCAATAAATAATGCCCGAATTAAATCCCAAGGCCCGCCATAAAATTTCTACTCCCAATTCATGCCATTCCGCACCTAGTTTTATACAGATTTCGCCCAAAAATCGCCCGTCGATACCCGAAGTCCTAAGTTGGGTTTAGAGCGCGACTTACCCGCATTCTAGACTATCGCGGCTAGAACGGAAAGCAGCGGCACTTAATCGGGAACGGCGGCGACGACGTACGGCTCCCGGGTGGCGGCGATTGGCTTAGGTGGCGACGGCGCGGCTTGGGCGGTGGTTGGGGGCTCACGGCCAAGAGAGAAAGACTGAGAGGGAGAGAGAGAGAACGGCGGCTTGGGGTGGGCGGCGTGGTGCGGTTCGGCGAGCGGACGGCGGCGGCTTGCGGGCGTGACCGGCGATTTGGCGGTCCGGCGCGGCGGCGACGGCAAAGGGAGAGAGAGAGAAATCGGTGGAGAGGGAGGAGTTCACGGCCAAGAAGGGGGAGGGGAAATTCACGGGGAGAGAGAGGAAGATGGAGGAGAGAGAATGGTCAATTTTAGACCTAAATAGGAAATTTGACCCCTTTTTGGCATTTTACCAAAATGTCCCTCTCTCAAAATTTTGATCCGACGGTCTAGATTCGATCTAATCTTGAAATCAACGGCCCAGATCGAATCTTGCCAAAAATATCCAAGGGCATACTTGTAATTTCTCAAAAAGTCCAAGGGTAAAATTGTCCAATCAAAATTTTAGGGCAAAATTACCAAAATGCCCTTTACCCTTAAAGCTTGCCCTTTAATAAATCCTAGGGGTATTTTGGTCACTTCCTCCGTTTCTTGTCCAAATCGAATTTGTCCAAAGGATTTGAGCGCACCAAAAATTCGCACGTGTCACGTGCAACGTCGTCCTAACGTTCCGGCGTGACTTCCTAATTTTCCAGTGTCCAATTTGGGCAAAAATTCAATAATTAAATTCTATTAAACGCAACTAGAGCGTTTCTCGAGCTAACGGGCGGCATGCTAGGGAAATTCGCGAAATCGACTCATGACTGATACTAAATCGAGTCACGTGCAAGTCCGTTCGGTGCGTGACGACCTCGGTTGTCATTAAAATCGCGAAGATCCATCACTTGATCCGAGGGGTACGATCGTTCAGTATAATTTCAAAATCATTCGTCAAGTCGTTTCGTGGTCCAACGGAATCACCCGCGATCCACTACTAGGACAGTGGCGAACTGACCCCTAACTATCCTTGGATCGACCAACAGTGGCTCAAAATATCACTTCCGCGATTTAATGGTCGAAATCCATTCACGATCGAATTTCCTTTAGTCGCGCGAATTTAATTCCCCTATTAGCCTTTCCCTAATGGTTAGCATTCCCAGGAATGATCAGTTCCGGGCGAGAATTTACTGCGAGCACATCTCATAAAACTCATTTATTCAATAAATTCCAATTGGTGGAATTTCGGAATGTCACAAATGGCAAACTCGAGATCCAAAATTGATTCCCTATCACAAATTTCTTGAGGAGCTAGTGGAGGAATTTGATGAAATATCCTTTGAATTCCTCTCAAGATCTCAAAATCAATTTGCTGATGCTCTGGCCACATTATCTTCAATGCTACAAGTGACTGAGGGTTTAGACATCGAACCTTTAAGAATTGAAATCTTTAGACGTTCAACTTATTGTATGGTGATAGAAGAATAATTCAATGGAAAACCGTGCTATCACGACATCATGAATTATCTTCAAAAAGGCGAATTACCCAAGGAAGCAAGACGTATGATAGAAAATACTTGATGAAATTGGCATCGAAGTTCTTTGTTAGTGGTGATGCACTTTACAAAAGATCTTTCAACTTGGTCCTGCTGAGGCGTGTTAATGCCAAAGTAGCCAATCAGTTAATGAATGAAATACATGAATGAGAGTATCACCCTCATATGAATGGCCACCTTTTGGCGAGAAAGATTATGAGTTTAGGATAGTACTAGCTAACTATGGAAACTGATTATGTTCAACATGTACGCCACTGCCAATGATGCTAGATTTATGGAAATAAGATTAAAACTCTGCCGAATGAACTTTATCAGATGTCTGAAGCATGACCATTTTCTATATGTGGCATTGATGTAATGAGCAAATTAATCGTAAAATTTCGAATGGACATTGTTTCATCCCAGTAGATATTGATTATTTCGCGAAGTGAATTAGCTAACTTGTATGCCAATGTCACTGCTAAGAATGTGGCCAAATTTATCCGTCGCGGTATTATTGCTCGATATGGACTTCCAGAAACCATCATCACTGATAATGGTTTACTTTCTCTGAGAGTGAATTTACTTTCAGAGAAAATTAAGCTTAAACTAGCATAAGTTCTTTGTAAGTCTTGCTATTTTAATGGATTACAAAATAAACAAAGCAGATGTTGATTTCAGGTTGTTAGTTATTGCATGTCATTTTTAACGATACAAACTACTTTTATGAGATTCACTTATTATCAAATACCATAAAATTGATTTTTTAACTTGTTTTCACCGCAAGCAAACACTAGAGAATGGTTTACTTTCTGAAAATGAATTTACTAATAGTGACAAGAAATTTTTAATGGGGAAAATGACACAAATAGTCCTTGAACTTTGGCTCAATGTGCAATATAGTTCTTAGACTTTTAATTTGGTCAATGTAGTCTTTGAATTTTAACCCAATGTGCAATGTGGTCCTGAACTTTTAATTTGTTCAATGTCATCCCTAAACTTTTGGTACATGTTCAATTTAGTCCCCGACCTATATGAAAATGTTCAATGTAGTCCTTCCATTAATTCAAGTTCAAGGACTACATTGAACATTTTCATATAGTTTAGCGACTACATTGAACATGTACCAAAAGTCTAAGGACAACATTGAACAAATTAAAAGTTCAAGGACCGCATTGAACATTAGGTTAAAGTTCAAAGACTACATTGAGCAAATTAAAAGTTTAGGGACCACATTGAACATTGAGCCAAAGTTCAGGGACTGTTTGTGTCATTATCCATTTTTAATGAGCCAAACACTTTCGTCTTATTTACTGCGCATGATACGGATATTGGATGAGTTATTTTAATTTTGCTCAAAAGAAATGCACAAGTAATCACTAAAGAAATGCATTTTATTTTATTCAACCCTTGGAACAATTCAACAAATATAAACAATTTTTCATACTTGGCCCACTTTAAAAAAAATTTATATTCTCTCAATCAAGAATCGGTGCAGTCGTCTTCTCAATTATCAACTACTCATATATTCTCTCCCTGTTACTTTTTTTTTTTGTGTGTGGTTTCAATATAAAAGGCATAGTTAAAATTCACTGCAATCAAAGAGAGAGAAACGCTTTACTAGGGGTGCGCATGGTTTTAGTGTAAAACTGAGAATCAGATCGGTTCTAGGGTAAGAAAGGTAGGTTCCAGGTTTCAAAAATTAGGAAACCAATTTTGACGGGTAGGTTCTAGGTTCCAGATAGGTGGAACCTGAAACGTGGAACAAATTTTTGTGTTTTTCCTGTTTTATGTTTTCGCGCAATCCTGTGGTATTTCATGGTATCCGATGATGAGTGTATAATTTGGAACTATTGGTTTGAACTTCCATTTCCAACAATATCAATGACTAAGACTTTTACTTTGTTAGTGTTTCATATTCTTCGTGTATCTAAATTAGGCCGTGATCAGTGGATTGTAACCACAAATGGTGTCATTAGAGGTGATGATTTACCGCAATCGTTCAATTAAGAATACAGGTGGAACCTGGGTAAACTCTGGAATCGACCTTGGAATGTGTGATAGTGTAGATTCCAGTTAGCCAAAAATTTGGAAACCAGTTTTGACGAGTAAGTTTGAGGTTACAAGTTTCAGGTGGAACCTGAACAAACCTAGAAAGCGCTCAACCTATGCATTACGGCACATGATACAAAAATCCGATAAGTAATCTTAATTTTGCTCAAGAGAAATGCATTGTGTCCATTTCATTCTACCCCTTGGAACAATTCAACAAATATAAAAAATTATATCATATTTGGCCTTCTTTGAAGTAAATTTCCACTCTCTCAACCAAGAATTGGTGTGGTAGTCTTCTCAATTGTCATATAAAAGGCATAGTTAACATTCACTCCAATGAGAGAGAGAGAGAGAGAGAGAGAGAGAGAGAGAGAGAGAGATGTATGTGACTCGGCCTCTGTCTGCATGCAGGAAGTCATCAAGCATTCTTGGGGAGTTACCAAATGAAGGTCCATTTTCAGGCTACCTATGATCACGGACGTGGTAGCAGAAGCAGAGAACACGAGTTGCTGGGGGACATGCGAGATCACATCGGTCATGAAGCTTCCGTTTCCTCAAGACAGGGCCCTAACCTTCGAGCCAATTTATGAAGATTCCTCAATCACCAAGCTCTGGTTCATTCCGGCACTCAATAGGCCTCTCTCGTTGAACATCTATTACATCATAACTGTTAGAAATTAAACCAAATTTGTTAGTACTTGTTTCCTTTTTGAGTCTATTCGTATTTCCATATTTTGATAGATATTGTGAGATATTGTTTCTAGTTATATTTTAGGAAAGTTTCCTAAGTCAAGTAGGTTTCCTAATTAGAATAGGTTTCCTAGAAAGAGGTTTCCTATTTCGAATCAAACTATGATCTATATATAGTCTATTTCTCTTGTAATTGAGACATGTAATAGAAAGACGCGAATTGCGATTGTTTCACCTTAAAAAATTCCTTTCATCAAATCAATATTGTTGCCGCGCCTATGACGCTCAACAAATTGGTATCAGAGCTTACGGTTCGTGATCATGGCTTCAACGAACAATCAGCTTCCTCTTCAATACCCTCATCTTACCAAAGAAAATTATGGTAACTGGGCTGTTAGAATGAAAGCTCTACTCGGCGCCTACGGTGTGTGGGAATTTGTTAACACTGGCTATGATGAGCCAGAGGATGAAGCCACGTTGAACCAGAATTAGAGGAATGCCTTGGAGAAGGCTCGAACGAAAGATCAATATGCCTTGTCGATCATCTATCAAGCGTTAGATGATTCCATGTTCGAAAAAGTTTCGAATGCCACTACCGCTAAAGAGGCATGGGAGATTCTTCAAAACACACATCAAGGAGTTCAGAAAGTTCAGAAGATTCACCTTCAAACCTTGAGAGGCGAATTCGAGGTAATTCATATGAAAGAATCTGAATCGATTGCTGATTATTTCACGAGAATTTTGGCAATTGTTAATCAGATGAAAAGAAACGGAGAAGACGTTTCCGATGTTCGTGTTGTTGAGAAAATACTTCGGTCCTTAGACAAGAAGTATGATTATATTGCGGTTGCAATCGAAGAATCCAAAGACTTGGATGCCATGACGGTCGATGAACTTATGGGTTCATTACAAGCCCATGAAGAAAGGTTTAGAAAGAAAAAGATTGAACCAGTGGAGGAAGTTCTCCAAACGCAATTGACCATTCGAGATGAAAAGGAGCAAAGAAGAGATCCCGTACAAAATCGCGGGACAAATCAAGATCGTGATCGAGGTCGTGGCCGAGGTCACTTTAAAGGAAGAGGTCATGGACGAAGCAGAGGAGATCCTGCTCGAAGTGATGGAGGATACCAGTACCAAAGAGGTGTTCGTGGAAGAGGAAAGAACTCGACAAGTCAATGGTATGATAAATCTAAAATTCGATGTTATCATTGCAATAAACTTGGCCATTATGCTTCTAACTGCTGGAATAAAGAAAGTAGCAGACCAAACAAAAAGGCGAACTTGGTAAATAATGCTGATCAAGTTCTCTTATTGGCATTCAAAGAAGATGAAGAAGGTCAAAGCGATACGTGGTATTTGGATACCAGCGCAAGCAATCACATGTGCGGGAGAAAGGAGATGTTTGCCGAGTTAGATGAGACAATTAAAGGGAGTGTCTCATTCGGTGATAACTCTAAAATTCTTGTTGAAGGGAAAGGTACAATTTTGATTCGCTTAAAGAATGGTGCACGTCAGTTTATTACTAATGTTTATTATGTTCCAAAAATGTCAAGCAATATCTTGAGTTTGGGACAACTTCTGGAGAAAGGTTATACTGTTCATATGAGAGATCTTAATCTTATGTTGAGAGATCGGAATAATAAATTGATTGCAAATGTGAAGATGTTGAAGAACAGGATGTTTATTCTTAATATAAAGAGTGAGATGTCTCGATGTCTAAAGACGTGCGTAGATGATCCTTCATGGTTGTGGCATTTGAGGTTTGGCCATCTCAATTTTGGCGGACTCAATTTGCTTTCTCGCAAGAAGATAGTTTATGGCTTACTATATATTGATCATCCCGATCAATTATGTGAAGGGTGTGTTATCGGCAAGCATTCCAGAACTAGCTTTCCGAAGGAGGTGACTTATCGAGCGAAGAAGCCGCTTGAGTTGATTCATTCTGATTTGTGTAGCCCGATCAATCCTCACTCATATGGTAATCATCGATATTTTGTTACTTTTATTGATGATTACTCGGAAAACTTGGGTGTATTTTTTGAAAGAAAAGACAGAAGTGTTTGATATTTTCAAACAATTCAAGAACCTGGCTGAAAAGGAAAGCAGCTATTTTATCAAGGCTTTGAGGACTGATCGTGGTGAAGAATTCACCTCAGCCATATTCAATAAATTCTGTGAAAATCATGGTATTCGGCGTTTCTTGACGGCCCCGTATTCTCCTCAACAAAACGGTGTGGCTGAACGGAAAAATAGAACCATTCTTGATATGGTTCGAAGCATGTTGAAAAGCAAAAATTTGTCAAAGGAACTTTGGGCTGAAGCTGTTTCATGTGCCGTCTATCTTCAAAATAGATGTCTCACATATGGACTTGAAGGCATAACTCCACAAGAGGCATGGACCGGGAGAACACCAAGTGTTTCGCACTTGAGAATTTTTGGGAGCATTGCATATGCTCATGTCCCAGATCAAAAAAGATCGAAACTTGAAGACAAGAGCAAAAAGCTCATCTTTATCGGGTATGACTCATCATCCAAAGCCTATCGATTATTTGACCCTAACACTTTGAAAGTGTATGTAAGTAGAGATGTCAAGTTCGATGAAGATGGAATGTGGGAAGAAAATCTAAAAGAAGAAGCGAATGTTCGTGGTAATTCCAATCAAACGGAGTTGAAAGATCAACCTTCACCTTCTTCTCCAACATCTTATTCAAGTTCATCAACACCATCCTCTTCAAATAGTGTCGATGAACCGCTAGTGCCAAGATCGAGAAGATTGTCTGAAATTTACGAAGCTACTGAAGAGCTTCATCTTATATGTCTTCTTGCAGATTATGAACCACTTACTTATGATGATGCGGCCAAAGAAGAAAAGTGGAAAAAAGCCATGTACGAAGAAATTGAAGCCATCGAGAAAAATCAAACATGGGAATTTGCTGATCTTCCGAAGGACAAGAAATCGATTAGTGTTAAGTGGGTGTACAAGGCCAAGAAGAATGAGAAAGGTGAAGTGACAAGGTACAAAGCCAGATTAGTCGCGAAGGGGTACAAGCAAAAAGCCGGAATCGACTATGATGAAGTTTTTGCCCCTGTCATCCACATGGAAACGATTAGATTGATTATTTCCATTACTGCTCAAAATAATTGGCAGATTTATCAAATGGATGTCAAATCAGCATTCTTGAATGGCATCCTTGAAGAAGAAATTTATGTCGAACAACCCGAGGGGTTTGTTGTGAAAGGTTATGAAGACAAAGTGCTAAGGTTGAAGAAAGCTCTATATGGGCTTAAACAAGCACCGAGAGCATGGAATTCCAGAATTGATGCATATTTCAAGGCGAATGGATTTTCTCAATGTCCATACGAGCATGCACTCTATTTGAAGCAAGAAAAATGTGATATTCTACTCGCCTGTTTATATGTTGATGATCTTGTTTTTACAGGAAATAATTCGGGGATGATTGATACTTTTAAGGCATCGATGGTGAAAGAATTTGAGATGACCGATAATGGTCTCATGAATTATTTCCTTGGTATCGAAGTGAAGCAAAGTGCCGATGGGATTTTTATTTCTCAAAAAGGATGTGCAGAAAATATCCTTGAAAAATTCAACATGAAGAACTGTATGCCGATCAATACACCAATGGAGTGTGGAACCAAGCTTTCGAAGTTTGATGATGGTGCCGATGTTGATTCGACATATTATAGAAGCTTGATTGGAAGTTTGAGATACTTGACATGCACGAGACCGGATATTATGTATAGTGTTGGAATTGTTAGTCGATACATGGAGAAGCCGAAATCATCTCATCTTAAAGCTGCAAAGAGAATACTTCGGTACATCAAAGGTACTATTTCTCATGGCTTACACTATTATTGCTCTGAATCTTTCAAACTTAGAGCTTATTCGGATAGTGATTATGGTGGAGATATCGATGATCGAAAAAGCACCACGGGATTTGTATTTTTCTTGTGCGACACTGCTTTCACGTGGTCATCAAAGAAGCAATTAAGTGTTACTCTGTCGACATGTGAAGCTGAATATGTAGCTGCATCTTCATGCGTTTGTCATGCAATATGGTTGAGAAGACTACTCAAAGATATTCTTATGGAGCAGAAGAAAGCAACGGAGATTTTTGTTGATAATGTTTCTGCTATTGCTTTGGCGAAAAATCCAGTTTTTCATGAACAAAGTAAACATATCGATGTTCGATATCACTTCATCTGAGAACAAGTTAAAGAGAATGAAGTTGAAGTATTGCATGTGAAGACCGGAGATCAAGTAGCAGATATTTTTACTAAACCTCTCAAGATCGATGCTTTTCGAAAGTTCAAGAGCCTGCTTGGAATGATCGATGGAAGAGAATTTGGTTTAGGGGGGAGTGTTAGAAATTAAACCAAATTTGTTAGTACTTGTTTCCTTTTTTAGTCTATTCGTATTTCCATATTTTGATAGATATTGTGAGATATTGTTTCTAGTTATATTTTAGGAAAGTTTCCTAAGTCAAGTAGGTTTCCTAATTAGAATAGGTTTCCTAGAAAGAGGTTTCCTATTTCGAATCAAACTATGGTCTATATATAGTCTATTTTTCTTGTAATTGAGACATGCAATAGAAAGATGCGAATTGCGATTGTTTCACCTTAAAAAATTCCTTTCATCAAATCAATATTGTTGCCGCGCCTCTGACGCTCAACAATAACTACAGAGGGCAAATACCAAGGGTACGTGTCTAATAGTACTAACTACAGTTTGCACTCAACATGTTCTTCGGATATGCCATATGCGTTAATTTCTCTTGAACAATTATAGTCACAATAAACAGTAATAACATCTATGTTATATTAAACTACTTTTGTCGAAATTGAATCCGAATTGCAGCGGATCATCTGTTACATTCTGACATCCCCACAAACCTTGATTAATCTAGAGGCTAGGTGTGAGTCAAGTCTACTCGCTACCAGTTTCTTTCAATTACAAGGCCTTTTCATCTCGGAATGTTCAATAGATAAGATAAAGAGCCATCTTACGTTCACCAAAAGAGGAAAAAAAAAAAAGGTTACTGATGGACAGTAATCATATCACGGTCTTATCTGCATCAATTTGCTTGACCACTGGTCACCAATCTTGACATTTCCGCAGGAAATCATGCATATGTTCGAGGGACGTGGACATAGAACCAACTTGTTTCAGCACATCCATCAAAGACACCAGACCGAGCCATTTCGACCCCAGAGACACATACCAAGTGTTCCAGATTCACCGTCACAACAGCGAGAGCTTCTTTGCTGAATCAGTGGCTCCAGATGGTTTTCCTCCGCAGTGCCTCCGGAAGAAATTGTGGGAAGTTTTCACCTCGCATTCTCTCCGACCTCACTTAGAAGAGGCCTTAGGCCTTGACATGACTCTGAGAGCCCGCCTTCCCGACTTCACTTTCCCAATCTCAGGCAATCGTCCAGCCCCTGCTCCTGTCGTTGTGGGAAAATGGAATTGCCCATATGTGTTTGTCAGGGAGGAAGGTGTTGAGACCAAGCACCTAATGAAGAAGTCAATGTTCTACAAGATGACACTTGAGCAAAAGTGGGAGGAGCTGCACACTTGTGAGAATAATGTCAACAACAAGGGCAATAATGAGGCCAGTGTGAATGTGGCTTTGCTAAAGGAAGAGGCTTCAGTCTTTGGCATGAATGCAGTGAAGGATGAAGATGAGACTAGGGATGGCTTTTTGTGGTTCAGGGTCATGACACATGACGAGGCATGGAGGGGGATCAAACTGGGGGTGAGTGAGGCCATTGCTGAGAAGATGAAGTGTGTGATGAAGGAAGGAGGCTGGCTTGATGATGGTGATGGATCAGGAAGAGAAGTGAGGGTAAAGAGAGTGGAAGAGTTCAAAGGTGGCAAGAAGTGGAAGAGGTTTGGTTGCTATGTCTTGGTGGAGAGCTTTGTTTTGACAAGATTGGATAGGAGTGTGGTGCTCAAGTGCGATTTTAGGCAAACTCACAGGATTCAATGCAAGTGGGAGTGATTCGTTCATTGGGTTCTCCGAGGATATAGTGTCTATGTCTTAGATATATATGGCTCATCTTCCTTAATTTTATGTTCACAGTTTTCTCAGTTTTACTCCCACTTCCTTTTTAGGGTGAGTGGCATCGCGCAGACACTACGGGTTGCTTTACAATCACTATATAAGTTTTCTTGTAAGGGGTTTTTTCGTGCTGCCTGCGGAACCGTTTCCTTAATGGAGTGATGGCTGTTGAATCATGGATATCTGAACTAGTCATTGAAATTTCTTCAGCTGTTCATATTCTTCCCCCATGATAATTAATTTTAACAATTAAAATTTCAAGTAGGATCAAGAATGAAAAATAATACACGTTGAATAAATCAAAATTGAAACGCCAGCGAGTCGTATGGTGGTGCACGGAAGGAAGAAACACAACGAACCTATTGAGGCCAGTGAACTCAACCAACTCTAGATTAGGCTTTTATATTCCGGAAAATTCTACTTTTTGTTCTTGTACCATCACACTTTTTCTAGAACATTCTATCTTTTAATCTTTCTAATCGAGTCTTTTTATATGGACAAATTATCTAATCGAGTCCCGGCACAAAATTAAGTCAAATCTAGCTTATGTAGCTGTCAAACGGTGGGCCACATTTTGCCAATGTCGACACCTACACTGACTCTACCACGGAAAAATAAAAGAAAGCAGAAAAAGAGCTTTTTTATTATTTTCCACAGCTACATCCATGTTAGCAAAATGTTATTTATGTCACACTCTGAGGTCATCCAACAATCAAGTCAGCCAGATTTGGCCAAATTTAATGCGAGAGGGACTTGATTAGATAATTTGTGCAAATATAATTTGATTGGAAAAATTAAAAGTGCAAAGATTTGATTATAGAAAACCTGAAATTATAGAAACAATATTAGAAGTACTTCATATTTTAGCATAAACCATTATTTCAAATTCAATGCAAGAACACTTTCTCTCTTTTCTTTTTTATTGGTAGAACTGGCGGGTGAGGCAATTATTGTTAGTGAACCCTTATGGTAACCTAGCGAGCCCTTGTGGACGTGACCATAATATTAAGTCAAAAACAGAAAAACCAAGAAAAGGATCATCCAATTTTCAATGGTTTCTAGTAAGTCCGTTTTGATTATCAAAAGGAAAATTGTCCAAAAAATTATAGATCTATTATGATGAATAGAGAAGTTTTTCTCTCTAATTTCTTTTCTAAATGAATACAAAAACATATTTAGTTGTACACAGAAAAAACTACCAAAAAAACTATTCTAGGCTATGTACTATCTTAGGGTAAGAATCTGGTTGATCCTCAAAATAAGGACATTTTACAATACAATTTTAGCAACTAATCAGCCCTATAATTTCTCCAATTAGTCTTAATTGACAACTCACGCCAACACTCCCCCACAAGTTAGTGCATAGTTATCACTAATGCCTAACTTGTCAAGTGAGTTGTAGAAGATCTTGCTAGAGACGCCATCGTGAGTATATCCACCAGTTGGTCTTCAGATTTGACAAATGGAAATCAAACTATCTTGGCATCAAGGTTTTGTTTGATGAAATGTCGATCTATCTCGATGTGTTTAGTACGATCATGTTGGACTAGATTATGAGAAATATCAATGGCCACCTTATTGTCACAAAATAAGCTCATCTCGGAATTAGAAGCAAAACCAATCTCACTCAATAATCTCTTAAGCCAAAGAAGTTTACAAAGTCCTTTGGCCATTCTGGTAAACTCGGCTTCAGCATTGGATAATGCCACTACCTTATGCTTTTTGCTCCTCCACGTGACAAGATTTCCTCCTACGAAGGTGAAGTAGCCTGATGTAGACTTCTTGTCAGAAACACTTCCTGCCCAGTCTGCATATGTATAACCCTCAATATTAAGATGATTATTCTTTGAGAAGAGAAGTCCTTTCCCTAGAGCAGACTTCAAGTAACGAAGAATTCGAACTACCGCATCCATATGATCTTCACTAGGTGAATGCATAAATTGACTGACTACGCTTACAACATAAGCCATATCTGGACGAGTATGGGAAAAATAGATTAAGGGCCTGTTTGGTAACCGGCCAAATAGTGCTTGATTCTATTATTTTGTTCTCGAGAATAAAAAAAGAATAGAAATATGTTTGGTAAATTTTTTTATCCCAGGCACAAATTTATTCTCAGAATCAGTTTTGGAACAGAATCAAGAATAAAAAAAAAGTTGATTCTTAATTCTTGGAACAAGAATCAGAAATTGGAAAGAAATTTTTTTCTTCTTCTTCTTCTTCTTTCTTGGCATGTGGCCGATGGCCGGCAACCCGCCATAAGCTAGGGCGTTGCAGCCTTCACTAGCGAGGGCGAAGGCTGGACCCTCACGGCCTGGGTGAGGGCGACCCTCGCCCAAGCCGCGAGCCGCTCTTGCCCAGGCCGTGAACAGCGAGGGCTGGACCCTCGCAGCTTGGGCAAGGGCCGCCCTCACCGGACCCTTACCAGATTCGGCGAGGGTCCAACCCTCGCCAAATCCGGCAAGGGCGGCCCTTGCCCAGGCCGCAAGCCGCCTCGCTAGATTTGGCGAGGGTGGCAGCAAAGGTCCAACCCTTGCCAGATCCGTTGATGGCGGCCTTAGCCTAGGCCGCAAGGGTCCAACCCTCGCCCTCGCCGGCGAGGGTGGCCTTTGCCTATGGCCGGCGAGGGCCGCGATGCCCTCACCGACGTCAGTGACCTAGCCATGGGCTAAGGAAGGAGAAGAAGAAAAAAAGGAAAAAAAAAGAAAAAAAAATTAAAAAATTCAAAATATTGTTAAAATATTATTAATAAAAATAATTTTTGTGCAGTTACCAAATGCATTTCTATTCTTTTTCTATTCCAGGAATAGAAATTTTGGGTAGTTACCAAACGCCTTCAAATGCTTAATAATTGTTTCCGGGAATGGAATAAAAAAAAATCATTTCTAAGCAGAAATTGTTTCCGGGAACAGAATGGTTACCAAATGCACCCTAACTTAACTACTAATCTTTGATACCTCTCATTATTAATTGGGACCTGATTTGGATACTCTCCAAGCTTGTAGCTCTTACAGTTTAACAATCCCACTTCAGACAATAAATCTAGCACATATTTCCTTTGAGAAAGAAATATACCCTTTTTTGATCTGGCTACTTCAATCCCTAAGAAATACTTGAGACTCCCAAGATTCTTCATTTCAAACTCGGTTGCCAATCTCTTTTGGATTTTGAAGATCTCTTCCGCTTCATCCCTATGATAATCATGTCATCCACATAGATTATTAAAGTTGTTACCTTTCCATGTTGTCGTTTCAAGAATGGAGTATGATCTGAATTACTCTGGTAGAAACCATACTTCTTCATGGTCAAGCTGAATCGTCCAAACCATGCGCGGGGTGATTGTTTGAGACCATATAATGAATGTTGCAACTTACACACAACCCCTGTTTTTGAGGAAGCAATGTACCCTGGTGGAATATCCATATGAATCTCCTCCTCAAGGTTGCCATGAAGAAATGCATTATTTACATCAAACTGGTGCAATGGCTAGTCTAAATTTGCGGCAAGAGACAATAAGACCCTGATAGTGTTCAGTTTCGCCACCGGGGAAAAGGTCTCTTGATAGTCTATGCTATATGTTTGTGTATATCCCTTTGCCACAAGTCTCGCCTTGTATCTTTCAATAGATCCATCCATCTTATGTTTAATGGAGAAAACCCATTTGCACCAAATTGTCTTTTTTCCTTCTGGTAGTGGAACAAGATTCCGTGTTTTATTTTTTTTGTAGCGCCTCCAATTCTTCTTTTATCGATTGAATCCACTTCGGATCTGCTAAAGCTTCCTATATTCCATTGGGAACATGGACCGAAGACACATTGCATACAAATGCCTTGAGAGGTCATGATAATCTCCAAGTTGATACATGGTTTGCATTAGGATATTTTGATCTCCTTTCCTCAAAATCTGGTGAGTACCGATTTGGGGGCTTTCCACAATTATGCCTAAAGGTTAAGTGACAACTGACAGAGATATCCAAGTCATCAAGAGAGGAAGGTGTAGTAGGAGAGTTTACCTCAGAAATATTCTCAAGAGATGGGTCGTTGAGTACTGAAGAGAGAGGGGGTTCAACAATTTGTGTAGTATCATTGTCAATTCCTACTGTTACCCCAGCTTCCTGCTCAATCTCCTCCTTAATATCAGTATGCTGCTCAATATCATTTTTATTTTCCTCAATAACCACTGCTTCACTTTTTTCACTCACTAGACAGTCAGGTTGTCCAGTCTTAGTTTGTACTGGAGTGTTTTCAGATACAACGCAATCCCACCATTGCCTCTCAACTAGTATCTCCCCCTGAGAGGAAGAATTGGATACTCGTAATGAGAAAAAACTTTTAGACTCTACGAAGGTTACGTCCATGGTGACATAGGTACATATAGTAGTAGGATTGTAACATCGATATCCCTTTTATTGTGTGCTATAGCCCAAAAAAATACAACGAACTGCGCCAAGGTCAAGCTTAGTACGTTGATTTTTATGGAGATGAACAAAAGCAACACATCTGAACACTCGAGAAGAAATCAACAAAACAGAGGGTAGAGAAACATGGTTGGAAAGGAATTGTAATGGAATCTTGAAATTCAACGCCTTTGAAGGCATACGGCATTATCCCAGTATCTATTCGACACATGCATACCAATCAATAATGCACAAGCAATTTCTAAGATATGTCTGCTTTTCCGTTCGGCTACTCCATTCTGTTGCGGTGTTTGAGTATAGGAGGTTTCATGAATATGACCATGGTTCTTGAAGTAATTTGAAATTCCTTATTAACATACTCGCCACCGTTGTTAGAACGAAGAATTCGAGATTTAGTTGAAAACTGAGTCTAAATTATAGCATGAAAAGTTTGGAACACACCAAACACTTCATCTTTGTTTTTCAGTAAGTATAACCAAGTCATTCGAGTACAATTGTGACATTCTGAAATCCGACCCACTTG